TACGAGTGTATATGGACTATTTGAATGCCGTGGCAACTTCGCCCCATTGGCTAGTACAGTTACGCAAGCAACCAATAAACTATCGGCGACAAACAGACTCTTAAACCGCGTATAGTAAAAATACAAATGCTGGAGACATGAAAAATGAACAATTCCCTCACCGGGACTCGAACCTGGACCTTTCGAATACGCTCTGAGTGTGCTACCGTTAAAGCACGAAGGCAGGCTGGAAGGAAGGAGAAAATACGTTAACCCCCTTTTTAAAGGGCGATTGGGAATTAGGGGACCCAGTCTCCAAATCCTAGCGGTGACGAACGGGCGCCATTTTTGAGTAATGAGCTTACTTTGAAACAGGAGTACATGAAAAATTAGCAATGCCTTTGCAGGGACTTGAACCAAGATTTCTCAACTACGCGTCGATTGTGCTACTGTTGCACCACGAAGGCATGCTGGAAGGAGGGAGAAAATACATTATTCCCCCTTTTAAAGGGCGACTGGAGATTAGGGGCCCCAGTCTTCAAATCCCGGTGGTGACGAATTTAGTTAGGGCTCAACTGTTGAGTCATGAGTTTATTTTGAAACAGGATTGAGCGTAATATCCTCGCTGCGACTCGAACCTGGACCCCTCGAATACGCGCCGTGTGTGCTACTGTTACACTAGAAGGAGGCAGGAAATGCCTTATACGCTGACATCTATTTTCTACTGATTTTTGTTTTCTTTTTTTGTATTTTGAACTTTATCAGGTTTTTCTCATTTTCTTCATATTATGCTGTTTATTCACCTGTCGTTCAACATTTATGTTTCCAGCTATATTCAAATTTTATTTGAGATAAACTACTATATTTATGTTTTACTTCATTTGTAACTATATTAAAATGTGTACACAATCGTGTGCGCAGGTAAATTTACACATTCATCCAAATAAATAAAGTGAATTTAAATTTTGATATATAAGGCCAGTTGCTTGAACATCAAATCAGTATAAGTGTTTTCCTGAAATCCGCTGTATCATTATGTCGCAGCCAGTCAATTAAATTAATCATTATTTAAACAAGTACCCATAATAAAAACAATAAAGAAAGAAATTTTTCGAAAATCGACTTTCCGGACTTATAGTTTAAAAGGATAGCTCTTTAACTGATGATCGCATGCCAAAACTTTTTCCCATCACTTTACCGCATGCAGCATTGAAAAAGGAAATCCAATTATTATTTCGAACGGCGATCTGTTATCTTCCCAGGTCGCGTAGGATCCTATGAGGTTCATTTTGATCGATAGAAATTCGGATGCATTCCATCCATGAATTTCATCTACATACGCCGCCGGTATGAGTTTAGGGATTTAAAATAGCTCTCGTTCAAGACTTCGGGGAATTTTAGCTCTCTCTTATAAAGCGCAGTTCCTTTTATGTAGGGATAATGCAAATCCCTCACTTTTAACCTATCGACAGGTTACCTGAAGAATGGTTTTTGGGCTTCTCTTGAAAAACACAGAACATGCACTTATTTTCCAGATAAAGCTTCGCAGTTTTTCATAACTTTCAAAATGATTAAAACTTAAAGACGAAATAAGGAACAAATTTTTTAAATTCCTTTTAGAGTTTATATAATGGTATTTTATTTTTTTCTGTATAGAGAACTTCTAAATTTCTGAAAACCTCAACTATGTTTTAATTTCAACCTTCATGCTAATTTCTTTCTATTCTTTACAGCATATGCAAACAAACTAAGGTGATCAATCCGATTTACCAACTTTCTCTTAATTAATTCGTATTTTAATTATAAATCAATTCTGAATTCATTTGACATCTCGCGTCCTCTTGGACTGATTGAGGGATATGGTAAAGCACTTTCGCAGAGGGTTTGGGAAAATAGAAATATGCAACTACGATTTCTTCACAGAGTCCTGAAGGTGACTTTGAATTTCTAGCTATTCTCCGGTTGCGCGACGGTAGACAAAGACGTTTCACGTAACCCCTTTAAAAAATTCAGGATTCCTTGGAGTCTAGTTATTATTCCAAGTAGTTTTAAAAATAAATAGTACAAAACATATAAAGGAAAAATCTTTCTTAAAAGCTTCTTTTTTCACCATCACCTTCAACAAAATGTTTTTGCCTATTTTTATCAGATTCTTAATGTTAGAATTTCTATTCGAAAATTCTGTTCAAAGAAACCCGCTTTTTTTTTCTTCCCCAGAGTAACGTCCATTCATTCATTTGCTATGAGCCCTCCAAAAAACTTCTAAATAATTTTTGACTCACTAGAGCTGCACGAAGTAAATGCATGCCTCTTTTACCCTGGCAGAAACTTTAGGAACTTTAAAGCTACTTGAACATAGCAAAGCGCACAGGAGTTCCCTACCTAAGACGAGGAATGCCTTTGTGAAACGCCTTCTTCTTTGGGAACCTGTCTCGTATTCACGTTACACCAAAACCACGAGAATCAACCATGTAGCCAACTCTGCTTGGCTTCTAACTAAGGACGAAATACATGTATTCAACAGTCTTAGCCCCTCGACGCTGAAGCAAAAAAGAATTATAAGGAAAAATATTTTGCTGATTTTACAAACTCTTCTGTTTTGTTCTTTAAATCTCTCTTTGAGTACGTAACAACCGATTTCTTGTTTAGCTCCTAAATTATATGTCTTCCCTTTTGATAAATCGAGAGCCGAACAATTAAATTATTTGACCTTATTTTATATCAGACTGCGACGTAAAAACTTAAGCAAATTCCTAAAGATAGCATGAATTCAAAGCAAAGCTAAACATTTACTTATTATTATTATATTCATATTTTTTTGTTTTAAAATTTCATATTTTATAAAAAGCAAATCTTAATTTATTACTTCTCAATGTGATCTTATCAAACTTAAAGTTCCCTTAAGTTATGTAATATCTGTAAAATATACTTATCTACATGTTCAAAAATATGTTCCATGATATGTACCAAATGAGATAAATTCAGTAGTACTATAACTCTTTTTAACTTACCAACCTGTCCAACGGATGTCTTCCAAATCTCAGCTTGAATTTCAGTTCAACATTGATTTGGTATCTGTTATTTCAAAATTGATCGTAGAACGCCATAAAGATATCTTTGAATCTAAAAGTAAATCACGCATTTGAAAATTTTAAAGCTCTTCAAAGAAATTTTGCTGAAAGTTTCGTCTTAATAATTTTGTAGGCTTTTTTGTTTAAAATTTAAGGTTTTGATTGCTAAAATGCTTTCTTATATTCCTTGGATTCGTTTTATAGTACTGAATTTGTTCATAATAGATTCATTATTTTGAATTCAATTTTTTAAAAAAGGAGAACTTTTTTAAAGAAACCATAATAACATATTTAACAAACATATGTCCTAACAGTTCATTTCAAAGTTATGAATGCAGAATATGTTTTATCTCAATCTGTGTAGTTTTTAAGAAGTATTTAACAGCAATATTTTGAACAACGACAAGTAAATATGATAAATAATTCTATATTTTTAATAATACCAGACGTTTTCAGAGAAAACTGGTTATTCATTTTGGGAATCTATTTTTTCAAATTCCGAAACTCTGATGCTAAAGATCAAATCAAAATAAATAAGATAAATTTATCACAAATTAAAGAAAAGTTAGATTTTAAGCCATTCAATTATTACAGTTATATAAAAGGGAGGGGGCTAAGATATTTTTATTTCTTTTGTTTGTTATCTTTAGGTTTTTATTAAAATCTCATGTCATATGGATATATTGTTTTGTGTAAAATTTACTAATAAGTATTACTAATGACCTTTGTTGAAAAATATCCCTTAAAAATGTCCTCTTAAACAAAATTGAATGTAAGAAAACAAAAATAATGACTGATATGTAGATATATGGAGGGACTGAAGGCTTTATTCTAATGCATTCTAATGATAGTAATACTTGCCTTGCAATTATATTCAGTTAAATTTCTCACATCTGATATTACTTTAACATGTATTAATGATTTATTATCATTATGATTTTATTTTTAATACAGTTAAATTATATTCTTTCTCCATTTTCATTTTAATTAAGCGAAAAAATTTATGACTTCTATACTTGTGTCTTTTTTCTTTACTTCCAACTAATTGCGCCCAGGTCAGATTTCTCTGATAATTTAAACATTTATTTATTTATTTTTTTTTAAATTCATGTAACTTTCTCATTTCCTAAGAGTTTTACATGAAGTCCCATTTCGTAACTTTGTAAAAGTGTTTTTGTGCTGAAATTTTATTTTATTGCAATTAAATATTTACTATTGGTTGAAAAACATGATTTTTCTAGGCAATTATGTAAGTAGTTTGCATATCTGCTCTATTGTTTCCTTCTTGTCATATTTCCCTCGTGAAAGTATTTTTGCAACATAATTTTCCTTAGTTCCTAGCTTTTGAAAATTTGTTTTCTTAGTTATGTTGTATATGTGTTTTCCTAGTTGTGTTGTTACTTATATAAATTACATTATTATACAGTTTATAGACATTAACATTTTAGTGAAGTATTATTACTTAAATAGAGTTATATTTTAATGGAATATTTTTATTTACATAGAATAATATTTTGTAATGAACTATTTTTATTGTTTTTCATACATAAAGTATTTTTTATGCTATGTATTTTGTGATTAATGGATAAAAGTCAAGTAATTGATTATCGAATTGGTTTGAGTATATGACGATTATTTTTCACTTCTGAAATTCATATACATCTTGTATAAGCAGCTAACATTGCATCTTATGGATTCATTTTCGTGTAAAATAAAAACATATTTACTTACATATGCATTAAAATCTAAGTATGGAATTTAGTTGGTTTGATTTCTTCTTTTTAGAATTCGTTCAGCATATGTAATTGTTTCTCTTAAAACATCTTGCAATATGCAAAGTCATCGTTTTCGTGAAGATATCATATATTCAGACCAGTCCGGTATTTTAGCTTAAGATATGCATGGCATTTATTTTATGTGAATTTTCACTCACGTAGTCCTTTTCGTCAGTCAGCTCAAGAAATCCCGCGGAGAAACGACCGTATAGGATGCAGACCTCCGTGTTTCGCTGAACACATCTGAATCCCCATCATAAAGTGGATGACCGCTGGTCGTATAGCCAACTCGGCAGATGACCGCCACCGATCCGAGCCAAGCTCGTGAAGTTTAACAAGGGCCAGTCATCGTCCATTATCCGTCCTATACAACGCTGAAAAGCTCGAGAATTCACGCGCAGCAGCAACAAGTACGGAGTGATCCTATTCACGATGTTTCTCCAACGGAAAATATCTGATGATTCATCAGTTGATCGCAGAGCCCGTGCATGTGTTTTTGTCATTTATATCAATGTCTTTCAGGTGGAAAGAATAAAATTTCGAGCTATTTCATGCTCATGGAATATCATAGGCTGAGTCGCACATGGAAGGACATATTTGTTTAGCAGAATATAGAGACAAGATGGACGCTTTTCGTTTGAGAAAATAATTATAGTCTTCAGTGCATTTTGGCTGCCAGAAAGAATAACATACTTAATGGCGTTACATTCGAAACATGAATGTTAGGACGCTTTAGAGTGCATCTTTAAGTAAGTAAGTAAAATGTCTAAAAATGAGGAATTTCAATTAAATTTAAAGCAAAATTACCTAAACAGCGTTTCTCGCTCTGCAATTGTAAACCATTTTTGGTCAGAAATAAATGCGATTACACTTGCTATTTGAACATGCAATCATCTAAACCTTAAGGGATTACTGTTTCTTCAACCATATTGAGAATTTTATAGGAAGCTATTTTTTAAACATAATTATCACTTTTACTTCTTTTTCTTGCAGAATACTCTAATGCTTCCTCTATTTTTAAGAAAGCATATTTGATGTAAAGTATTATAAAGAAAAATAAGATCTATTGACAGCAACAGGAAATATGTACTTATTGGAGAATTACGCAATGCTAAATAAAATTAATATTTTATAAAATTTAATGACAATACTTTGTAACTGTTTTAAGTTTTCTAATGTCGTGTTAAAAATAGTAGAATTGTTACAGAGAGGTTTTCATATTTTAGATTTTCAGCTGAAAATCATTGAGCAAAAGAAAACAAAGTACATTGGACAATATTCATAACATTTACTTAAATAGAGATTTCACGCTGACTATTACGTTCTTTACCTTCTTATTTATGTTACGTATAAGATTTATCTTTCATAGTTTAACATCATTGTAAATCTGTATAAAAAAAAATGAGCTCAAGTTTAAAATTTGCAAATTACAGCCACAGATCATGAAATTTATGTTCATAATTTTGAGTCATTTCATATTCCCAATTTTTGTAATTTATGTTTAAATTCTCATGATGCTATTGGTTTGAGATTATGAAGAAGATATCCTGGAAAGTTTCTGCTGTTTTCGTTTGGCTTATATTTTGACATTTTGCAACTAATTCGGGTAACTTTGAGAATGCCCGTATACTATTAGATTTGCCAACGAACTGCTAAGTTTTTACACACAATAAAAACAATAATTTTGCATTAAAATTCTTTCGAAATGTTACAGGAAATCTTGCTCACAAATATATAGGATTGGCATATCTATTTTTATGCAAAATATCTATTTTGGACTGATTCTCTCGATCAGTTAGTAAAAATTATTTTAAATAAATGTAAGGAATAAATAAAAATTGTTTCATTGTCCTAGATATATAACAGATAATATATTAATTTACTCAAATCAAGCAGTCCGAGCTTCGATTCTACATAAAGTTTTATAGTGGCTTTCGAACCGGGATTTTATCGTTTTGAAGCATAAAACTCCCTTCATTATTGCACTACCTTACTAAGATACGTTCTGACAACGAATTAGGAAGAGTAGATTGTCACCTGACCACATCAGTTTGCCAAATTAAAAATACACAGTTATTACATTTTTATAGTTACCGTGTATTACAGTTAGAGCAAAATAGACAGAGCCAAAATACTGAGATACTACAAAATGTCCAAACGTTCTTTATAGCCCCATTGTTAAAGGTCCTTTTTGATACAGGTTTCAAAACTACACATTCCAGAATTTAACCTCGCAATATTTTGAGCTATCTTTCATACATTATAGCACACTCACTCTGACAGTAAAATCGAAAAATAAAATCATATAGCAAATGCAAAGAGACAAAATGTAAATTGCATCAAATATTGGTATAAAATTTTTTCATAATATTCTCTTATGATTAACGAGTGTCAAATGATTAAAGGCTTTACTACATAAATGCCAGGGTCGTACAAATTTCCTATATGCTTCAGTTTTATTAGATTTTATCTAAAAAAATCATTTCAGTAATTTTGATGGTGCTAGTCTTAATGATTGACAGTTCTTTCAGTTAAGGTTTTAATTTAAAAGTTGCATCGCTTGATATCCTAACCGTCTCCATTTATAACACTCTTAGCAGAATATAGACAAATTATGCAGTTTCCTCGTTTGTACTTTCGAGTAAAAATTTGTTATCCATAATTACTCTTTTTAAAACTTTGATAGTAAGGTCTCTGATAAGACTCATTTGATATATCTTTCAGCTAAAATTATATATCAAATAGATATCATCAAATGAAATACGAAATGATAGTTCTTAAAAACTGTATTCCATAAGAGTGAGACTATGTAGGTTATTTAAATAACAATGACTTCCATTAAATTCTGTAACTCAGAACAAAACGTAATAATAGAAAAGCTGACAGTATTTCAGGTTCACCGGTAGATAGCAATACTGGAGATTTTTCATTTTCATCAGCTATAATCCTTAATGATGTTCTTTTTATTAAACGGGAGAAGCGCGAATTGTTATCAAGTGCAATGCAGAAAAGCGGAACTTCGTGGTCTAAAATATGATTCCTACAACGCTACATAAAACTAAGTCATAACTCCATAATAAGCCATTATAATATTAAATCTAGCCTAAAATGTAGTTACTCACGGCATTTTATTCTAAATGGACATCGCGGTATCCTAAAATTCAAGATTTTAAATCAAATACGTGTAGACCAATTCGAATCTAGCAAACAAGAAAAACTGCTATTACTAACTAGGATGTTTTCAAATATGGTTGAACATAATTTGCTTCACCTAAACGTTGCTCATGAAACTTTCTATGATGCAATGCAAAATAATATGCTCAAACGCATTTTCATTATATTTCATGAAATATTTAGAGATTGTACTATCAGATTTCGTAATTACGCGGTTTTAAACAGAATATAATAAAATATTAAATTAAATCTTTGTATTTTCGCTTTTAGTAAGATACAAAAACTAAAAACTAAGTGTAGAACACTGAAATTTCATAGAGTAATATACCGGGTGTGGTGCAGTAGCCGAAACCGCTACACAAACCCCGGTTTGTGATGCAAGGTTGAAATGAACTTCAAACTCAAGTTCTAACGATAACATGAATTTAATGAAATAAAAGCATTAACATTTGCATATATTGACAATATGGGTCTTGGATATATTTAGTCCCGTAATTTCAGAATTTTGATACAGGAAAAATTCTCTAACGTATTTATACAAGAGGAATGATCGTTCTTAGCAGGCCAACATGCCCATAGCTCTAAACAGAATTTTTTTTCCTCTTCTCAGAAAACCACCTTATATACCGTATTTGACCCTGGTGAAAAGACTCATCTCTTCGTCCAATAGAGTGACCTTTCAGGCTACAACCGGAATCATTAACAAAGGCACAGGATTTCGCCACCGATATGAAAACTATTGCACTCTGAAATTACTCATCCTAGACAATGAACCTTTATGCCACCTTATCACAAGGGCTACCATAAGTGATTAATTCGTTTTGAAAAAACTATATTTTCAAGAGTATTTTACGTACACACATGAAAGATATATGAAAAACCACAAATTCACCAAGTTTATAACCCTCTACAAATATTCTGTATGTGTCTCTCTGATGACACGACACACGTCCAGACGATAATCGAGCTCATTTCAAACATTTTGTAGCATTGTTGTCTAGATATTCTTCCTGTCAATTGACGAAAAACTATGTGAACCATCCAGCTTCACCGCAAAATCACAAAAAATCACAAACACAAAATCACAAATGCAAAATCACAAAAAACTATGTGGAACCATCCAGCTTCACCGGATCACATACTGGGTTGCATCGGACTTTCTAAGGGGGACTTAACATTCGATCCCCTTAGTTATTGATTTTTTGGCGATCAACAACCTTCTGGAGCTAATCTGACATTTTTCAGATCTTTTGAGTATAAGTAACAACACTATATGGAAGATTTTGCGTCAACGATTAAATTTCAAACTGTACAATCTGTAGCTCCTGCAACAATTAAAGCCGGAAGATTCCGCCCGTCAACTAGATTTTTGCGTTCCAAGTAGGAAGTATTGGAGGACAAAGATTTTGCCACCAAGATGATATTCAGAGATGGAACAACTTTACACGAATCCCAGAATTTTGGTGAAATAGTGGAAAAAGTTGATGAGCTTGTGATTCTTTTCATAAATTTTTCATAATACATTTGAAAATATAATCTTTTCAAAATGAATGAATTATTAATGCTAGTCCTGTATTATTGCCTGAAATTAAAGTTATCCATATTTTTGGAACAAATTATCAATCACTTATTGATTTACAAAGCACAAATATCGAAATAGTTTTGTTGCATAGAACCTCACAACATGTAAGCACACAAAGGTTACGATAGGTGCAAATTAATAAAGTAACATCTATAAATTCTAGAATGACTAGGTATGAAAATAACGAAATATTCTAAAATCCTAATAATTTCCTCTTCTTTTTATTAAACTGCAAAATGCACTGAAGACTTCACGGAAAGAGCAAGTGCTGTATTCATGTAAACTATCCTTTTGGTTATGTAATGCTCATCCCTCATCTGCTGTTCATTACTAACGAGTGAAAAATGTAAACATTTTCACGTCTTATATATTATCCATATAAATATATATATATTAAGCATTCTAACTGTTTTATATTTCACTATCACCAAACAGGTAAGCCGCTCATGAACACTTCATATTGTTTAAATTTTATTCTGTGTGATATTTTTCATCATTAATGTGCTTTCGTTAATTAAAAATAATGTAGAGCAGACTGATTCCTCATTAGGAAATTTAAAGGCATCTGGCAAGTAAAACTTAAAGAAATTCCATTTGCATTCGTTTATGAATTATTGGCTTGACAGATGCATATAATGCAGAAAATAACGATCGCAATTCAGTTGGTAGTTTAAAACAAAATTTAGTGTGATAAATTGTAGAGCAATTTCATTTTATCAGTGCAGTTTGTAGCATTTTCATGTAATTTAAGAATTTTCAGAACACATATGATACAGCAAGAATAAAATTAAAAGAAAAAACTAATAAACTATGCTGATGAAATATAACTTCTGCGTTTTGGATTTAAAATCACATTTTTATTTAAATTAATAAAAATCATTGAAGACTTCATTAGATGGGTTATTTTATCAAACAGATTTTGTTAAATCTTATATGTAATTTACTGACTTTATTTGTCTTCAGCATATAAATTATTATTGTAGTTTTTAGTTTTTCATATGAATTGTATGAAATACTTGAATGAAATTTATGTCGAACAAGCCATAACATAAAATGTAATGAAGATATTTGCAGAGTTTGAGAAAATTTTAAAACAAAATTTTGATGCAAATTTCACACTATACTATCGGAAGTACTAGATGCCAGTTATGTTAGATTGAGAGCACTGTATCTAACAACAGAGAGAACAATACCGCTGTAATCCTTCTCTAATAGCGATGCAAAATATACGATTCATAGTCACACATTTTCAGTTTGATGCGATATGAAACCCAGATAAAATATTCCGAAAGAAAAATAAACTAGTTCTCTCTCATTAGATCAGCAACAATAACACGCAGTTTATAATGATTTCTTCTTTTTAATCAAATGGTTAGTAAAAGCTAAAGTTCCATCCAATATTTCACCTATATTCAATTTTAGTCGATTAAATGTGGCAAAAAATTGGTCACAATTGACAGAAATCAATAACGTGAACAAACAAACACACACACAAACAGACATTTT